TGTGACCCTGCACTGACTGCACCGATCGAGCCAAGGTAACTATCGGCAAGGAAAGGATGCATTCGTGACAGAGCCCAGATATACTTGAAAGCGGAGCCAAGCATAGTGTAATTGCGTGGCATACAACTCAGAGCGAAACAAGTGCTCTGTTATTTTTCTTCTCTAGATTTTTATAAATCGATTATTTTAGAGCAAAATAAAGCTAATGCTCTGTTTGTAACTTCTCTTACTCTGACTTTTCACCGACGTCACATGTTGGTGCCTATACTAGCCAATGGTCTCGCATGGTTGCTAGCAAGTCCAAAAGAAACTGTGATTTCAAACTGGCATCATTAATTACAGAATGGATATAGTGCCAAAGTATTTCGCAATCGGTATGTATAATTCTTACTGAAGCAGAGAAAATTGTAACCAGTAAGCTTCATTTTTGTTTCAGGACCCCTTTAATATTTGCTTTTAGTGTCCTTTTAAAGAAACCTATTCTCTGTGTTTGCGGGGAGATCGACGAGGCGTTGGAACGAATATGCTTCCTACTGGGCCTGGAAAAGCTTCGCTACTGAGCTCGAGGCCGTGGCTTCCATTCCTGGCCGTGGCGGCCTCATTTCAATGGGGGAAAACGAAAGAACACCCGTGTGCTTAGACTTAAGTGCAGGTTAATGACCATCAGGTGGTCAAGATTAATCTGGAGTCCTCCACTACAGAGGCCTCATAATCATATTCTGGTTTTTACTGAAGACCGTTCTATGAGTATGAGGTTTTATATGCCACATGCAAAACCCCACTTACTGCCTTGAAAAACGCCTAGAAACGTGCCATATGGCACTTTTCTAGTGCCTAGAAATGTGCCGTATGCGACTGTTGCCCTGGTTTTAAAAGATGCTTGCTCTGGCCACTTGGCTAAGATATGCAAGATTTGCTACTCCTTCCAATATTCAATCGTAACATGTTATCCAACCTTTCTGCAACTCTTTAGAGAAAGAGTTTTCCCAAATAGGCTGGTTCAGGTAGTGCTTGGGTTTTTGGAAGTCATATTAATTTTTTGCTCAAGAAGCAGTGTTACGGTTTTTCAGCAAATTTTTATGGGGACATCCAAGAAAAATGTCGAACGAGAAAATGAAATGGTTTAGTGTGTTAAGTTTTCTCTACGTTGTCTTATAACTTGTATTTTTCATCTAGGTCCCTGAAGAAACCACATTACAACTGACTGACTGGTGCGCTAACTTTTGCTTTGAAACTGTTGTTTAGCCTCACCCCGGGTAACAGTGCTATGGGGCTGTTTGTGAACTTCAGGTAAATGGTGCTATAATCAGAGGATATAAAAGTGTCATTTTATTAAGCAGCTACACTAAGTTTTATATGCTTCACAGCCTAACTTCGTAAAATCTTACCTGGCATCAATCAACATAATAAGGTAGGGCTTCTGCACCACTGCATCCTAGCAATGTGGGACATATTCTAAAAAAAGAAACTGTCAAAAGATATAAGCTAGCTGGCACCAGTTTTGTTTTTCTGAGCTCCAGTTCTTTGCTCTGACATACCTAACCGCTAAATATAGACAGTGGACGGTCATTGCAACCGAGACTCAAAATAGTAAAGAGGGGGTGAGGATTGATATGTTTACTGTTTGAAAGACAAACACAAAGACTAGGAAATGATGACATCGGTGATGGCATTGCACCACCATGTTCGCAAGACAAATTTACAAAGTTTGGCAAAGATTTCACATGCACCTGTCATGACCATACACACTGACATTGACAAAGACAAGAAAGATGTAAAGTAATTTAGCATAGTTTTCATTTGTGCGACGGAATTCTTCGTGTTCATAAGAAATATAGATGGTATGTGCCCGGATGGAAAGAGTTGAAAGATGTCACCTACACTGTTGATTATCTAGCAACTGTGTTCATCCATTTCGCGGTAAAAACCATGCTTCTTCAATAGCCACCTTTGGGGGTCTGCCTAGTGTTCTTTGACCATACTTTGCCCTTGCACTGTTAGGCGCTGTTAGACCTAATATATTGTTATTTATTCTGTGCATTTGGTGCTGCTTGTCTTCTAGGGTGCGTGTTAGATTTTTGTCTCCCTCGTTTTACAATGTGGCTCATGCTGTTGATTCGTCCTACTAGCCATTGTGTTCATCCTTCACCAAAATAGGCGAGTTGTAAAAAAGTTCCGAGGCCAAGAAAGTGCGGTAGTTAAAGAACATTTATCAGAATCTCAGACATGAATGATTTTTTTTTTTGTTTTCTCAGCACCGAAGCTGCCTTGGAAGCTTGTGTCAGTGTTGATAAAGCTTCCTCCATCTCGTGGGCTTCTGTGTGCTTTAATCAGTTTGTTGATTTGCCTTAGCGCTGTTATCCACAAGCCCCCTAAATAGCTTAGATGGTTGAGTGATAGTACTGGAAAGCCATCTACCACAGCTTCTGTTCCTGAACCAGGACATATCCTGAACTGCAACGGTTTATGAAAAACCTGTACTGCTTTCTTTTTTGTAGCTTTGCTCTGTGAACAGGTGGATAGAATGTTTTCTTTTCGTGAACATTACCCTAACTTGCATTCTTTGGCATGACTGGTGTGCCATTCTCCTGGCTTATTTTATCTTTCTGTTGTAAGAAAGTGCTTAATGATTTGGTGGGATGTCGTATATAGTGTAGTTTTATTGTTGGAATTGTTGGGTATGAAAATGAAGAGGGAAACTGTTGCATAAGCCTCTGGCTAAGAATGTTAACATCTTTGGGGTAGATATTTTATTTGAAGCTAGAAAAGAGCACCTTCTATTGAAAGAGGTGAATGTTAACTGCCATGAAGCTGATGGCTATATTACACAACTATTGAAAGAGATGAGTGTTAAGTGCCATGAAGTTGATGGCTATATGACACAACAGTAATTCAAAGCACACAAACACACATGCAATACATACATAAATACATACATACATTGCAGCTTCTGAATCCAAAAGCTGCAGCAAAGGGCTGCATTGTGGCTGCACTTTGCTACAGTTTTTGGAGGGGGAAAGTTTATTTGCGCAGATCTTAATACAAAATGGCATGGGTACAGCATGTTGAACAGTAGGTATGAAAGCAGTTATGCTGTAATCATTTTGGACCAGGCACCAAAACTTATGGCAGTGAGTCGCACTTATGTGGCATCACGTTCAAGTTCACTGTAGACATATGTGTAAGTTTAAGGGCTCGTTTTTGTTTAGTTACACACAATATTAATGAGACCTCACAGAAAATGACCCCAAGAAAAATATAGGTAATAAGTAATTCGAATAACATGCTGTGGCGTAGCTCAGTGGTATAGTATACAACATGTTATCCGAAAGTCGCAGATTTGCTTCCTGCCGGTGGCAAGTTATCTTTTCATCCAGTTTTCTTTCCTCACATTTACATTACAATTACTTCTAATGACATCCCCTATACTTCCCTTGGTATCATGGTCTGTTCTAATTAATCATATGTAAAGAAGTATCTCTATAGTATTGAAGTAATTGACATATCCACTGCAGGGCATGTGCCCATGATGCTCACGTTGTTTATTTCCACTTAGGCATCCTCCTCCATTTTTCATGATATCTTATACTTCAAAGTGAACTTTATATGTTCCATGAATTCAGTTGCCGTACAGCGCTTGCGTTTGCGTCATTCTTCTATTCGCGCGATTGTGTCCTATGTGCGCTGCTTCACATATCAAAGTGAAGTCGCTCTTTACGGACCGACCGCCCGGGACTTTAGCGTGACTGTAACAGCTTTTTTAGTTACGTTTGTCATACGACGTGCGCAGCCGCGCGCGTTTCATATTCACGCGCCGTTTGTGCGGAACCCGGATATTCAAATTGCTACCCATAAATATCAACGCAAGGGGGTCCGTACGACAGGCTCGGATCGAATTACCGACCGCACGTGTACACCAGCGCGCTCGATTGCACGTATTAAGTAACGTTCCGTGGTCCTCTTGCGATTCGTCGCACGCACGCTAGTGCCGCCGCTTCTATTTATTCATTGGCGCACGAGAAGCCTGGCATCAAACGTAAGCCGCATCGGCATGGCCTTGAGCTCGTCTAGCTCGACGGGGAAAGGTTGCAGGAGCACATGACGGGCGCGGTGGAAGAGCGGGCCGAGAATGAAACAGTTAAAATAGTACTTAAGGAGAAGAGAGGAAAGAGACACGGCCGGGCGAGCCGGAATGCCGTGTGTACGGCGTCTCGCGACATCGCTCGCTCGCATCGGCAGCCGGCCGGCTCTGTGATACGTACAGCCCCGCGCCTTGCGGAGGCTTCAAATGGCGCCGCACTGGCGTTAACGATCGGCTCGGGGATCGCTTCTAACGGTGCCTATCCAGTAAGCTCGTCGGGGTGTGCGCTGCCGCGATGGTGGCCACAAACCGGTCATCCGTGTCTGCAGGGTTGTGCAGTAGGAAGTGCCGTTAAGCGCTCGCGGCGTTCTGAAGGCCGGCTGCGCCGCACTGCACCCCACCCGACACCCCGCAATCCCTCCCGGTCGTCTGGTTATCTACCACGTCTTATCGAGGAGGCGCGCGGAGTGTCTCGGTCGGACTGGTCGAGGTTGCTATTCCTGTTTATGCATATCTCGTTTTGTTCCCTTTCTTTTTAATTGTGCTATCATGTTTTCGAAAGCCTTGCCGACCCTCGCTGGAGCGGCATTGCAGTGGGTGCCGCTGTATGCTCTAGTTACGGCTCCGCGTGTACAGGAATACTAGCGCTGTATCTAAACCTGTTTTTTTTTTCGAACAGTGTAATAAACCGGCGGGGCGTTTCGTTTACCTCCCACTGTGACGTAGTGGGCTGCACAATTTGCTTTGGTGTTAACCCAAGTTTCGCTGCCTTCTATTGAGTGTCTACTGGTAGTAGAATTCGATTTTTGATGTATGTTTACTTAGCCAACACAGATGTCTGGCATATGGCTTGTCTTTGTAATGATTTTTTATGTGACTGTTCATGAAACCTCCATCTTTTCTTTTTTTTTTTCCCCAGTGAAGCGGAAACACCTGGAAAATGTTCCAGAGCGCATGACCGAATCGGAATTTTGGACGCGCTTCTTCCAGTCCCATTACTTTCACCGAGACAGGCTTCACACGAGCACACGAGACCTGTTCTCTGACTGCGCTCGCAGCGACGATAAAGGTGGGCACCTTCACCTTTTTTTTTCTTGTATAGTAGATGACGATGCTTGTAAAGCCTGAGTATTCTTACTGAAGCATGTTAATAAACAGTATGGTGTGATGTCCTTGTGTAGTTGAACACTTTGTCAGTTTTGAGAAAATATACTGGCTATAAAAAGGATACGAGTATTTATAAAGGGTCATTCATGATGTTAGTCGTTTTGTTATCTTGTATGTGAGTAAGCAAGACAAACTGTTTGTTAATCAACAGATGTTCTTTCACACAGACTCAGTAAAAGCACACAATTTCTTGTTCACTACTTGGTCTGCGAGACTGTTCATCTTCGGAGGGACTCTTAAATTGGAGTTGTTTAGTATGAACTCGGAAAATGTTTAATGCCAAGGAAAATTGGTGTCTCCCTGAAAACATTATTGATACGCAGATATTTGAGAATCTGCCAGTCAACCTGTGATATGCACTGCATTATACTAACATTCATCACTGTAGACTGCATATATTAACTTTGCCATTTCTGTCTGTCAGACCTGTGCTCGTTATTTTACATTTCTTTTTGTTTTTGCACAGTTTGGTTCTGACTACTGTTTGCTAATTGTATATTGCTCTTCCAGATATACAGGAGGCTATCTCGAAAGGATTCCGGGATCCCTTCGTTGACATCTCATCTTTCCAAGACATAGAATCATTTAATGTAAGTTAGTCTGCATATTGCACCTGTGTTGCAATGTGTAAAGGCTTGATTAGTACATACTATAATCAGATACAGCGGAAGAAGTCTGAGGAGGCCCCACTCAGACGACTGAAGTGTGGCACCTGATTGCCTCTGTTGCTAAAGAAATAGTCACGCTGATGGACTCGGAAATGTTCTCCGAAGACGGAGTAACCGGCGATCTGGCCCAGAACGTCAGTGAGGAGTGTGCGCTCATTGGAGCAGGTCTGTGTGCATCCACCTTTGAGGAGGAAAAGCCATGAACTTCTGAATTTTTATCAGACTACAGTAGGACTAGTTATAAATTACGTAAGTTCTATTTGTTTGCTGCTGGTAGTTACATACGTTGAGCAAGACTTGAAAGTTCTTCTGGAGAAAAAGGACTTTCATATTATAGGCGTACGATGTATTTCAACCTTAATTGCCACATTTTAATTTCTGTCTATGGGTAACACGTTGTTTTGGTTGCAGAGACTAGCTTTGTTTTAAAGGGACTGACAATTGCCCAGAACATGCAATAAAGTGATTGCACGGATGGAAAGATTGACCCTCGTAGTGTCTCAAACCAATCCTATTTTCCCAAGAGAAGGGAAGTTATATTTTTGTTTCTTCATTGAAAATCTCAAAAATAACTTGTAGCGCCACCTGGTCCAAGAAACTTCAATCACTCGAGCTGCTCTGTCACGCGACTGTCAACTAGCATACGCGGTCAGCAATTTTCCTGTTAGTATTGAGATATTGTTTGCTTCTTTACAGTAAAAAGATATTATTCCTTAAAAATATTTTTACAAGCCTGCATTGTAGTGTGCAATAAAGTGGCACTACCTTCGCATGACGTAATCATCCCGTGCTGGTCAGCGCGTCTTGTGCAGCTTTTCTACGTGCTCATGAAACCATGCACGCAGTTTTCAGGTCGCTAAGACTTTGCAGTGACGTGGTTTTTATACCTACACTCTTCTCTCCTAAATGGCGCGCAGTGACATTTTTGGGGACTTGACTTGGCTCGTTTGTCGGGAGAGTAACGATGACGGGATGAGTCATCCACGACACAGGCGCATCAACATTGGGCGCAAGCACACGAAACGCGGTACAAATAAAGGGAAGCTGTATAAAACCACATTGTCTCATTGTAATGGCTTGCTATTTTCAGAAGCAGTTCTATAGCTTAGAATAAATATGGTTAAGCATAGTTACAGGAAGCCCTGCGAAAGCAGAACAATGACAGCATGCTCAAGTCACTAGAAGAGCTACCGGCATCACTATCTATTTTCAGTGTTCGTGGACAAAAAGGCATGTCGGTGTTCAGAGCTTTCAAAATTGAAAAATACTGCTTATAAAATAACTCTGTGCTTTTAGGAGTAACTACTGCAGCTGCAAACACTGCGAAGAGTAAGCTTTTGATTGCACCGGAAAATAGTGTGTAAAAAAAAATCGATTGTCGGTCCCCTTAAACGTTGTTACCTGTGTAGGAGTAAAGAGCATTGTGGAGCTCAGTGTAATGTTGAGTGCATAGATTTATGCAGCATACATTTATATACTTCAATGCAGCAATATTGTTTTCTAGTTTGGCTATCTAATTATTGTTATATATATCCGTAAAAACACTTATGTGACTGTATAACAGATGTTATGCCTTTTTGTTGATGTTGTTGTATTTGCAATTCACTGCTGACACATTGAGGTGTTTCCTTGAAGTATTTATTCATTGACAAGCTGTGCGAGTAGTTTTGTTGATGACTGTCTCAGCATTGTCATGCATCTGAAACACAGCTGAGATTGCTGAGCGGAACTACAAGTTACCCAGTTGGGATTCTTCACCTAAGCGAAATTTCATCTGTTGTGCTAAGCAAGCATTTTTTTGTTACACAATATGGCTGTAAGTTACATTATTTTCATGTAGTGTCTACTTTTGCTTTTTTTTTTCTTGCATCGTGTTTATCTTGTGATTATTTGGTTATTGCACTGCCCCTCCTGCATGAGCCAGCATATTAACCTGTAGTATTAAATAAATGAATAAATAAAACTTACGTTAGCTTCGAAAATTACTGTCTCAGCCCATTAAGCACTTTCATTTTTCTGTCGTTTCATTTTCAAAGCCCTGGCTTACAAGGATGTTTTTTTTTTCTTCTTTCTATATTGGCATATTCACAAAGGCTAAGAAATAAGCCAGTGCACTGAATGTTCGCTTCTAAGTCTGCCCTGCATGTTTGCCAGGAACGGGACCTGCCAGGGTCAGTGGCATCTGCTGGGAGCGTTGCGAATCACTCTATGATTCGTAGATTCAACCATCATTCAATGATGGTCCTGCGAGCCTGTGGTAATGACAAGGACGCCCCTATGGAGCTTTCGTCCCAAGAAGAAGATCCTCTTGCTATCAAACATGTAAGTGTGCACATGCAGACATTGTTGAATGTAGTAGTAGTAGTAGTGCATTGAAGTCGTAGTGTAGCAGTAGCCTTACTTCTTTTTTGCATATACGCACAGATGGAAGGATAGAAGCAAAACTTGACCCCTCAAGCCAAAAAAAGCCCCACTAAAGCTTCTGTGCATATAGTTTATGAATAATACGCAGTCCGATAAAAAACAAAAAACAGATGCATTTATCGACCCATCACAGATGAAATCACATTGCCACCTGTGAGTAGAAAACTGGAAATAAAACATGTATTTACAATCATACAAGAAACTGCATAGTTATGCTAATAACTGCTGCACAATATTTAAATTTTAATAGCTCATTAGCATCTGCAGCAAAGTTTTGAAGTCTGTTTTGTAAAAGCCTTTGAGTGCTACCAAATCCTCATGCGATATATTCAGGCTGCCAGGGACTGGGTCCTTGCTCAGCAATTGGAAGTCAGGATAAATGCAAGGGACCAGTTTTTGTGAGTACAATGACACGTAGCCAATAGCTAGAGATGCCAAGGAGAGTGATGCAATGAAAGAAGCTAGTTGGTAGGTGCTGGCTTGGCAATGTGATTACGGTAGGGAGATACTTCAAACGACGGAGTACAAGGAACACAGGACACTGCTTTAGCAGAACAAGCGCTCATGTCCCGTCTTTTTTGTAGCCTTTCCTTTGTAGACTTTCCCCACTGTAAGCACATTGCCAAACCAAAATTCTGAGGAAAGCGTAGAAACTTTCCTGTGCGTTCCTTATATGACTTCTTTTCTCATTTTTCATCTCTTTCAGGCCAGAGTGTGGGAAAAGACACAGCTGGAGGACTTATTGGGCAACAATGGGAGTTGCAGCGGATTCCCGGTGCGACTGGGCCAGGGCGAGCGACACCAGCGGGGACCTACGGCGGGCGACAATTCGACAACGCCTGAGGATCGCGTGGCACCCAGCGTCCTTCAACGAGAGCTGTCGAACTGGACGCCCTCGGGACAAGGAGTAAGGAAGCGCGACCAGAGTGGCCTTCAGTGTGCGCTGCATGGTGTGCTTTTAATGCAAATCATTTCGTATTTATCCCCCCAAAAAACGGACCTTGTTACGGGGTGTGTCTTCAGGTTGTATCTAGGGCTACAGATGCTCGAGAACTCCACCATCATTGTTTGCTCACATATCTAGCTCCTTATTCTTCTAAGAATAAGAAGAAGAATAAGAATGGGGTGAAGCACATTCGGCAAGCACTCTCAAGTTATGACAGGTAGATTGCCGCTAACCCTCAAGGGGAAGGTATATAACAGCTGTATCTTGCCAGTACTTAGCTACGGAGCAGAAACCTGGAGACTTACAAAGAGGGTTCAGCTTAAATTGAAGACGACGCAGCGAGCAATGGAAAGAAAAATGGTAGGTGTAACCTTAAGAGACAAGAAGAGAGCAGAGTGGATTAGGGAACAAACGGGGGTTAAGGATATCATAGTTGAAATGAAGAAGAAATGGACATGGGCCGGCCATGTAGCGCGTAGACAGGATAACCGCTGGTCATTAAAGGTAACAAACTGGATTCCCAGAGAAGGGAAGCGGGTTAGGGGGAGACAGAAGGTTAGGTGGGCAGATGAGATTAAGAAGTTTGCGGTAGAGAGGCCTTTGTCCTGCAGTGGACGTAGTCAGGCTGATGATGATGATGATGATCTAGCTCCTATCGTTAAGTCATATAGTTGCAGTGCTAATTTTGATGGCAAAAAGCATTGTGTGGCCTTTCTATTTCAGCAATGGAGTAAGCCAGCTGAGCTCTGGAGTAGGACTGCTCACACACTTATGAAGGAACAACACCATCGAAACAGCAGTAGTGTAGAGAATGCATTGGGGAATGAAATTAAAGCTTTTCAGGGTTCAGACCTTAGTTTCTTCTGTGCCATGACTTATCTATGCGTTTCTAGTAAAAATGGTGGAGGACAAGCACTATTCATCGACGGTACCTTACATCTTGCCACAGGGCCAAGAGCAACTAACTGCCTTTGTGCTCGTCTCATTGGGCAGAGAAAGCAGAAGATTCATTTGCATTGAGGTGTTAAAAAGTTTTGATGTGTGGGGTCTATTGTTAAGAAGAAAAAGGGGAAAGAAAAAAATGCAGAAAAAAAAAAAAGCTTCTGCATTTTTTTTTCGGGATTTTGGGTAACAGCGTGGAATTAGAGCCATTTTAAGTACCGTATTTACTTGCGTAATCCTCGCACCCCGCACATTGCCTAACACACACGCAATTTTATTTTTTTCTGAGAGTAACTATTGTACCCTTGAAAATTGCAGCTGGAATGTCGTCTGCTTCTTCCAACCACTGATGATGATAGCGTACAACAGCCTGGCACTATCTCTTAAGTCAAGCCAGTGTGGAAATTGTGTGTTGTGGCTTGTACGTTGTGCTCGTTTTGTGGTTACGTTATGAGGCAATACGGAAGCTACACGGCTGCTTTCAAGTTGAAAGTGATTGATTGTGTGCTAAGTAATGGCAACAGGGCTGGCGGAAGGCACTTTGAAGGCGACGAGTTTTGTGTTCGCTACTGCCGATGGCAGCATGGGCATCTGAAAGCCACCAAAACTGGCTGGGCATTCCGTGTCCCAAGGACTGGGCTGGATGGTAAAACTCTTGTTAGAAGGTACTAACTGCAGACGATTCTATGTTCGATGGCTCAAACTCTACGCTGATGTCGTACGCTAATGTTTTGCGGGCTCCTGTGATGAATGGTAACGCTACGCTTGCAAGCTTTGCGTACGGTTTTCCAAAACTCTACTATTTGCTTGCAGCTTTTGTGTCTCAAATAAATCTTGTCTTGTGTTGAACCTGTGGTTTTATTATTCGGGTCAGTCTTGATTAGTACTTCTTAAGGCTTGTAGTTAGTTGCTAGCATGAGGATCCCAATTTGCGGCCACTTCCTATCTTTTTCCGGCTCTGTATGTTTTTGTGAAAAACTTTTCTCGCGTAATTCTTACACCCCGCAACTTTTCATTGGTTGTCCACAAAAAAATGTGTGAATATTATGCGAGTAAATACATATTTTCGTCTCACCTGCTACGATAGTAGATAGTAGTTGCTAATGCTGCTTATATCTTCTGTATATGCTCATCGCGGCCCAAGAAATAATGATACCTGGGTGATATGCTGCACTTTATTTTGTGTGGTATTTAAAGCGAGTTTTTTACAGCAGCTGTACAAAGAAAAGTGCACGCACCAAGGCAAGTAGTGGGAACGCTGCAGGAACTGCTTTACATGTGCAAAAAGAGAGAAGAGAAATGGGTCCAAGGGCCCATTTTACAGCCGAACTCTGCTACAATGAAAAATTCACGATTCCCCGTAAGCAGTCCATAGGAGTCAATGCATAAATGTGTTCGCCACAACGAACACTTTTTCTTCAATTGTCCTGCTTCAATGAAATGTTACGATACAATTCCGGGTTCAGATACTTATTTTTATGCAGTAAACCCAAGCTTTAACATTTTGATTCATTTTTAAAGCCTGAAAATACGTCAACGAAGTCTAAAACACGCATGTGCACCACCAGAAACCGCCGCTGTTCATCAAGCATGGGCGCCACCATTGCTCGATAGCGATGGCAATGAGACTGCCCTGCTTTTGCCACTGGCTTGCTTTTGAGCTGCAGACAATCGGAGGCTGAAGCTTAGTTGCTCAGTTCATGGTTTTCTTCACACAGCTGCTCGGTGCAATCGCGGAACGATGCCTTTTCTGATTTCGATGCTTATCATTATGTTTGCGCTTAACCAGTGGGGTAACTAATCAGAGCGGCTGTTCGTCCGCATTATCAACAAAATCAGCTAGCCGCGAGTGATGGATGATAAGAGCAGCATAGAATAGTGCAAAAGTCGCCGCTCCACGATACCCTGCCTCCATCTCGGCGTTGTCAGATACTTTTACGGAGAACAGCTGCTGGTGTTGAGGTGTTAATGCAACTGTTGGTTAGTTCACGAAGGCAGTTTTAGGCGTAGTTTCAGCGTGCTTTTCACTATGGCCTGGCTATGCGTGGGTGAGAATCACATCGTGACGCTGCTGGGAAAGAATAGGAAGCAGCGGCCATTTTTTGAATTTGGCGAATAAACGTTCCTGTTTTGCTAGCTCAGATCAGTTATATTTTTCAATTTCTCTACAACGAACTTTTCACTTCAACGAAACTTTTTCCGCGCCCGTCAGTTTCATTGTAGCGGGGTTCGACTATATTCAGTCTACTGAAGCCAGAGGAAGCGTAAGGTTGTTCTTAGTTGGATTCTGGCACTATTTATGACAGAGAGAAAAAACAAATTGTAGTGGCTGTAAAGACTGTGCACCGCAAAAGGGCACTTAACCCACAACTTTCCCCTTACAATATGCATGTGATGCCTCACCAACTGAGCCATGGCTGTTCACTTGCCCACTTCACCGTGTATCTCTGCATACGTGATCCTGGAAGCATTAGCCAGCACCCCTCGTTGTCATGGTAGTGAAAGCATTCTTTTTGTCAGCATCGCACTGCGTGTGATTTTTTTGAGCTGCCAGTAAGCCCTTCGTTTCATAAGTATTGCGTTCATTAAGTTATGTACTACAAATAACGTTCCTATACTGTTTGCAGCTTATGTGAGGTTGTGTCATGCATATAGATAATGCATATTACTTGTGCTCTTTCGTTGCACAGATATTGCCTGCCTCGGCGGCCCTGTCAGTCCTGGGTGAATTATCTCCCGGTGGTGCTCTTATGAAGAACGCACAGCAGGTGCCCCTCAAAGGTGAGCCCTGCTCTGTTTTTCCCAGCAAAGCGTTCACTTGAAATTCGTAAAAGTGTGCACATGACAGGGAGAAGCAGGTCAGACTACTCATGCTCTTTCTCATGGATGTACAGCTGAAATTCCATTATACCTAAATTGGTGAAATTAGCTACAGTCAAACTGTGCTACAACGAAAAATTAACGGGTCCCTCTCAGCAGTCAGGTTTTTATGAGTGAAAAACAACTTTGTCGTTTTAGTTTTATGCAGAAGGAGGTATAAAAAGTGCTTGGCTGACCAACAGAAATGCTAATAATAAATTGAAGAAAAACAAACAAACAATTTTGTTGAACTTGAGGGTGAACTACCACATTTGTAATTGGTTGCCACTCATATGATATCCTTTTTCGCAGCTGCTTACATCGTGTGGTACAAGAATTAAAAAATGATTTTGCGTAAGCCACGTAACGTTCAACTATTGCTGCCAGGGGAAGTCCTAATTTATCAACATATTTGTTTTTGGCAGCTGTGAAGCTTCATTATGTTGCAATTGCAGATAATCATGTTTACATAATGGAGGTTATAAGTACATTTTTTACTTTGGAAGTGAAGTTAAGTACTGCATTTTTTTGTGACATTGCCATGTTGAAGGGCATTATTATATCAAGGGGGGTACATTCTATAGCGCAAACTTAGGAAAGAAAGACATGAGCAAAGAAGTAGGAGAAAACGGAAAGGTTGGGCACTTATCTAGAACTGTTTATTTGCAAGAACAAGCTTACAAATATATCTGCACATGCTTGCGTCAGTGTCGGCAAAAAGTCACACTTTTATATCTAAGAGCTGCATCTCATTTTCGAAAAGTGAAACATGAAACATTGATACAACTCATGTCTCCTCTCTTGTTAATGTGAAACGTCTTCATTAACTCTAGTGCTGATGTGTCTTTAATCCGGCAGATATATAAGTGATATGTCTGTTTCATTTTTCCAAGATGAGGTGCAGCTCTTTGCTTATACTGATGCCAGCATGCGCAAATAGTTGTAATCTGATGGCTCGTTCTTTCAAATAAGCTGTTAAAGTTCTGTGCCCGACCTTTCTGCTTCCTCCTACTACTTTTCTCGTGTCTATTTTTTCTCGTTTTTGTGCGATCATGTACCCCTCCGATGTTACCAACTGCCCAACAACAAGTCTTGCTCACTATACCGAGGTTTACTGTACTATATCCAGGTTTCACTAATGAAACCAATAAACCGTTGTAGTTTTTGTCACATCGTATTGTGAGGATAATGTGTGTCTGTTATATGTGCCGCGAGATGTCAGAGCGCTGACACACCTCATTTAAAAGGTATAACTTATTCCCCCGCAGTTATAGGAAAGAAATGTAATTCTTAAGCTGGTGTTTATTTTTCTTTTGTTTTCATGTGTTTCTGCATTTCGTGTCGCATGTACTCCTTGACAGTTGTGAACCATGAGCCAGTTTCTTTTTCGAACTTTGATTAACTAAACCGACAGTTTGGGTGGATTGACAAGGGGTTTCTTTTGTTTGTTTTCTGTTTTGACAGACACAGTGAGCTTGGACGTTCAGCGAGATCTTCGCAGCATTTACACAGCCCAGTTCGAGCTTCTGCGGCACTTCTGGACGTGCTTCCCCAGCACCAGTGCACAGCTTGAAGAAAAGGTGAGGGCCCGGTCACTTGCCTGGACAGCAATGGTCTCTTGTACGTTGCTTGTCATCCTGTGAACGATGTTAACGTTCATGATGCGTTATGATGTTAGAAGTGGCAGGATTTCAATCATTTACAGTGATGCTGCTTTGAACAGTGAACCTTTCAGGAACAGCCTAATAGATGAAATTGCAGTTAACGCATTCATGATTTCAAGAGCCAGTGGTGGGTCATATTTATTACTTGTCGACTACTAATATATGGTCAATGTATAGTCACATATGTGCTACACTGCAGCTGCTACATTTTGATAAGTAATCTAGTGGACGTTAAATAATAATATTTTAATTACACTGTATCTTTGTGGTAGAAAATACTGGTCAGAAAGAAATAAACCTTGGTCTGTTCTGCAACCTTGCAGAATAGTGTCCCATACTGTAGCAGAACAAAGCTTTTTAATGCCAAGAGACCTTGTTGAAGCACTGAAGTGTCTTCCTCTCAGAATTGTGTGTCCAGTTCTCACGTAAATCCTTCACAGCGCTGAAGGCAATTGATGACCGATAACGATAGTCAGGCCCATTAGCGAGGTAATCTATATGACAAATCTGGTTGTAAGAAACTTGATGGTTTTTTGGTTTAGGTCACTAAATATAGACAGTCTATAGTTAGGTACAACTTAAGAGGTTTGGAGAAGGCCGGTCTAAATAACAGAAGCATGGCAGCTCATCACCCTTGCGGCTAAAGAAATAGCGCCTATCATGCGCTTTGCAATGTTCTCCTAAGGCGGTTTCACCAGCAGTTGGGCTCATGACACCATTTGGGAGTGCCACACATTAGTTAAGGCTTGTGTGCATCTGTCTTTGAGGAGGTAATGCTGGAGACTTCTAAACTTGTATCCGACTGCAGAAGAAAAAGAAAGAATAGTGGTCGTTGCATTCCACTGCTGGGAGGCATGTCCCCGAATGGATATTGTGAGGTTACTTACTGACACCCGAGATTGTTTACCTCATTGAATGCAGCACCAAATTCTGTGAAGCCTAATGTACAGAGGTGTCCAAGAGTACTCAGGATAGCAGTTCGGGAAGTTTTGACCACCGCTTTACCACTTGTTTATCAAACTGTTGCTGTAATGATTTGGTTATGAGTGAAACGAACTTCTTTTCTGATTAATTTCATACTTTCTCAACTCGAAGGCTGAGTGTACTTATCATGGTAAACTACTTATATCCCAGCATGGTTTTGAACAGCTGGCTGTTTTTTTTTGTTTTTTTTTCCGGTACTCTATTGTCACTGAAGCATGGTGGAACTCCTCGTGAGACAGGCTTGTTACGAGCGATTTAGGTGACTTCCGCTGTGGTTTCGGGGCGCACTAAATAGGCTTGAATGTTAGGGCAGGAGTAGAGCGTCAATGAGACCAGCGTAAGAAGCGACGTCGGCAAGAACTTCATAACGTTAGTGGTTTACTCCTTCCGTAATGTGTGCCAACTAACCTATCTAAGAGCAAAGCTTGATTGTACATGATATGTGCACCTGCTGGAGTAGAGTGAGGTACTGAGTGCCGTATCTTTTGTCATTTTACATTGCAGGCAATTAATATGAGGTCCACCCTGGAACGCTTCCAGTATGCTCAACTTCAACCATTCCGAGACAAGCTGCTTCGTGAGCATCACACTCCTGATGTGGGTAGTCTCAAGCCACGGGCCATTCCACTTTCCGGAATGGCTTGTTACTCCCAATCACTGTTGCCTAAGGCATTGTGACAAAGATAGTGTGTGCTCTGTTTGTAAAATAATAATGTCATAGCGCCGTAAGGGGTAGAATTCTCGCCGGTAAGTACAAGTGATCTTGTGCAGCGCTTGCATTAGCCAGTTACTCTTGCCACCTGAATGCACTTGGTAAGAAAAAATCGCAGCATATCGGCGGAGTGAATGATGATGAGTGGGGCGAAGCGTTTGTCAGGCCGTCCGAGCTTCTGTCCGTCTGTTTGTTCTTGTTTCCGTCCGTCCGCGCGACCATCTGTGCGTCCGTCCATGAGTCTGTCTATCCATCTGTCTGTCTGTCTGTTTGTGCGTTCATTCGTCCATACATTCGCGGGTCTATCCATCCGTTCGTCTGCTAGTCTGTCTGTTCGTGCGTCCATCTTGAGCACTCCAAATACCGCCATCTCCGATCTCGATCTTGCATCCCCTGTAGCACATACCCCCTCTGGAGCGGGTATGTGCCACCGATGGCTACGTCCTACTACATACGTACATACAAGGGATGGACAGACCTACCCCTTAAAGAGCTTCGTCCCTAAAAAGGACTCGCTAGTAAATTACGCATCATGATGTTACCTTGAGAAGCTTTTGCGCCAGCCTGCTGGGATGTCACAAATGTTGACGATGTCTTAAGGGATGCCTTAGTTTATGTTGGGAAAAAAAATTGGTCATGTTGCCATCATTGTTGCATCAAGGTGTTTCGTATTTCAGTTTCATCAGTAATGTCACACTTTGCTATATTCGAAGACAACTTTCTTTGGAAATGAAAGGAAGGCCTCGGAACCAAAGTGAGCGTGCGCCACCGCTGAAGAATATAGTCCCGCAAATGAATCCGTGTTTTTCGCGTGAAGATAATAAAAACCAACATTACTTTATTTTCTACAGAACACTGTTTATAAAGAGACACTGCATGAACCAAAGAGATATATTAATATTTGTTTTGCTTGGATGAAGTATCATTTCACGCTTTTGTACATCTGAAAACGTCGCACGTTTTAGGTGCACCTCGCAGTCGAAAAGGGATCTTCGATTTAGGGCAGTTATTCTAATGACTCGCCGAAGGAGTTTGTGTCGAATTTCACTGACAAATAGCTGCGTAAGCAGACGTAGCAGGTCCTATGCAGTGGTATTATTCAAAGACGATCGGCATTCGAGGAGCGAGTCGAGACTTCTTCGCTGAGGACTACATCTGCTGTAGCTCCGCTCCCGTAGTTTTCCCTTCATTGCCACAGAAAGTTGTCCCCGAGTATAGAATCATGTTATTAGACTACATTTTATTTTGTGAATTTCTGTGACATATACCTCAAAGTAGCTTCTCTCATAGTTATGGGCATCGTGAAGCTTTGACTGATGATTGGAGGTAAATGGCACTTTACAGCACTCGCTGTGCAGTAGCGAGCACTGTAAAGTCCACGCTTTTACAAAATCTGAAGCTGGAATCTGGTGATGCTGTTCGTTATTTCCATAAAGCAACAATGTGAACTTCCGATCGGCTGGTAAGAACTAGACCTGCGTAGAAGCCGCTGGATCACAATTGACCGTCAACTACACAATCGCTGCTGCGTTGCCTTGTGATGAGATGAACATATTATCTCATGGGCTCTTAGAAAACAGTGAACCTTAGGGATTATCTCCCATGTAAAAATGTATTTTTGAAAGCCATGTGAACATGTCATGCACTTATCATAGTACCTTCTGATAAGTAAGGCTTTTAGCAAGCATGCTCCCTGCATCTCACTAGTGCTTTCTACGAGCAGTTTTATTGTGGCTTTCAGCAAATGGATAGCTTAAACTGGGCTAGTTTCACCTCTTGGTCTTTGCATGCTGACAGTCTTTTTGAGTTCTGTTAAAAGATCAAGATTTGGCCAGATTTGCTGAATTATCTTTCTATGCTTCACACCTCGGCACATAACTAATCTGTAAAGTCAAGGGAAAAATTATGCGCATTTCAATAGAAGCAGGAAGTGGTAATGAAACAAGTTTGTTACGTCACCGTTCTAATGCACAATTCTTGATCAGTAAAAACAGGTTACGTTATGTTCTGAGGAAACCGGACACTTTGTGTGGTAGATTTTGGCCGCTTTTATGAAACCAAGATGGCCAAAGTGCGAGATCAACGGTGTCGTACTGTCAAAGTTGCATGGGGGCCTTTGCGTAAAATAAAAAATATGGAATTATAGCCTTTATTTTTTCTTCTAGTAAAGAACTTAGATCAATTGTTTATCAATCTAACTCTAGTATTTTGTGTCTCACTTAAGTGCATCTTGTGTGCCTTGGCAGTGAGTGCTGTTCGCAGACATTAAGGTAATAGAATCGCAGACGCTTTGAAGTCTGGTGTTCTGCGCTCTTTTTTTTTTTTTTTCCATGTTTTGCTCCCTTGATGACAGAGAGCAAATATATACGAACACCTAAATTATTCGCTGTGGCTATTTACACGTGGAATAAAATTTGCTTGCATGGCATAGATTGCGTGAAAATTATGTGCAGTGTAAATTCTGTGCTGCACAAATGTCTGCCAGCTAAAATCTTTTAAGATTGCAACTTTACGTTCTGTGTGCTCATTATATTTTCCTATTGCAATTTGGTCAGCTATGCTGTGAAGCTTGTTTTCAATTAGGAGTGTTCTCTTTAAAACATCGCTTGAGGCTATACAGCACTTTCATACTACAAAGGCTTAAATCTGTCTTCGACAAAATTTGGCTAATATTGCAAGTCAGATGATGCGGTCTTATCTTTTAGCAAGTACCATTTTGTATCATTACTTTGTGCAAGCACTTTTCTGAATTACTTCTTCATGGAACTTTCAGTGAAAGAAATTCATTTACAATGAAAGAAGTTCGTCAATTCCTATTGGCAAAAAAAAAAAAAAAAAATCTCAACATGGGTGTAGCTAGCAGAGACTTATTAGTAGAGTGCTACCCTTTGTTCTTCAGCTAATACATCAGAGAGAGAGAGATAAAGATACAAGGAAAGGCAGGGAGGTTAACCAGACGCACATCCGGTTTGCTACCCTGCGGCTAATACATCAAGCATACACTATGCACAGTGCACAGTTAGTCAAGTCTATTTCTTCTAAAAATTCTGTGTTTACAACTCGTTTAATATCTGCGCACTTGGCTTTCTGAAGACAAGTTGTCCACCTACACCCGCCCAGAAAATAGAGGATAAGTGCTTACCAGCTCAAACCACTCACTGGAAAATTTCGCGACTTTTCTACGACAGATTTTGATCACTATGGTCGTTAGCGCCGAGTGTTCCCTCCTCAAAAGTGGTTTTGCGACTTTTTAACGACAGGTTTTGATCACTATCGTTGTTAACGCTGAGTGTTTCCTCATCCCAAGTGGTTTCGAGGGGACACCACTCACACCACTGAGTGGGAAAATTTGTGACTTCTTGACGACAGGTTTTGATCACTATCATTGTTAGCGCCGAGTGTTTCCTCCTCCCAAGTGGTTTTCCGGGGACACCACTTGAGTTTTATTCATAGGTTGTGAAGCTGTCCCGAGCATTTCTGTTAGCTTCATATCAAGCTGGCACCCGACCAAGCGAGCGTCTGGAGTGCCAAAAGCTTTTATCGGGACACCTCGTTTGATTATTTCTGCGAAATCCAGTGTACACGCACTTTATTTTATTGTTTGACACTCAAGGTTGTCTGGCTGATCGAGCAGTGCTTACACGGCATATATTTAAAGAGCTTTGTTTTCTTAGGAAAGCACTATGTTTAGTGCACAATGCAATATGTAGGTTGATAGGAATTAACAAGTTTAATGGCATTGATTGGCTTTATTTGCATTTTATGACATGATGGATGTGGTAGCTTAGATGTAGAGAGCTCAGTAGTCATCATGGAGAAAAACATATCTGTATGCTCATTTTTGCATTCTTTAAACAAACATTAAATAATCAGCTGAACTAATATCAAGAATGCCCATTTGTGATTTCACCCACAATGCTGGTTATTGCCTACATGAACTGCATTTATTGTAGTAATAAAGTGCATTTCTGCACAGCATGATGATGTTTGCAAATTTAATGCTACATAGCATTTTTTTCTGTTGGAGCATGCGGTCAGTTGAAAGTGTAGAAAAGCTTGTGCTCAGCCCACAGCACTTTGCAATAAATCTTGTTTCTGAGTGACAAGGTTAATGATATTTGAAGAATTGAGATGTGCAACTACTAATAGACTAGAACAAAAATGAGGAACAAAACTCTTAAAGTGCAAAATTTCACCTAGCTTTTTTTTTTTTTTTGCTGTGCATTCGTAATACGTAGACAAGGTCAAAGCACAGACTGCACCTGTCTGCATTTCCACCTTCTCTATAACTGTTCACATTTTTGTCTTTCAAATACTCCATGGATGCAGCATAATTTGCTACATAAGCAACTCGTTCAACACTGGATGCTCTCAACTAAAATTAGAGAATTCACCATTAATACCTTGCACGTTGCATCATGGATGCAGGTACTGATCGTACTGGTACTTCAACATGGCTGCTTTGATGTCATTAAATAAGCATAATCAGATAGTCATTAACCTACTTAAATGCAATAACCACGCAGCCATTGGATTACTGGCCTTTTGTGCATGAATAGCATAAGAACCTGCTTGCGATATACTGATAACATTCTCCCGACATTGCAAACATTGCGTCCCACCGCTTTGGCACTCCAACATGGTGTGTGTGATGTCGGTGCAAGCCATCTATTAATGTATACTTGTGTGGGACACTAGTCGAGCATGCTTTAACAAGTACAAGCCGTTTCAGGGCGAGTGTCTTACGATTGCCTAACTGACTCATGACCACGAGAACAAATGAAATAAACGTTTATTGAACCACTGCCATTTGTTCATATTGCATCTGTTAAATCAATTTTTTTCCCTCATGGTACCGCTACATGGAGTCCTAATGGATGTGTGGCATTTTGTTATTCACACAGTTGGCGAGCCACCTGGACGACCTTCTACAGGCAGCCTACACGAAGTTTAGCAGCTGGCAGTCTCGGCGCTTGTCGCTTGGGCGCAGGTGACCGAGAGCACAGCCATGGGACGTTGTATAAAGAGCGCAAAATAAAAAAAAAACAAGCCAGGAACATCTTTCGCAATCACGTGTAGTCCTTTGTTCACTAAGCAGCGCGGCGCACTGCCGACGGCCTCAATATCTGCATGACGAAGCGCACGATCTTCTCGTAGGCGACAAACATGAGAGCCGCTGTCAGAACAGTCTGCCAGAGCTTGGCCTCGAGGCCCCTGTAAAGACCGGGGACTCCCTGCGTTCGGGCGATGTGCATCAGAATGCCCAGCAGGTTCTTGTTGGCTAGCTCCGGAGGGCAGCCGTAGCGAAGCTTCGCTTGCACAAGTTGCAGCGGGTAAGTGGCCACGGTAGATATAACCTTGGACACCGCTCCGATGAGGAAAACGACGGCACCGTTGAGAGGTACGCCGGCGCTGCCAGCGCGCCGCTTGAGCGACTCGTAAACCATGAACTGAACCGCGGGGCTGGAGACGAGCACGAGCGAGGGCAAGGTGCTGGCCCACAGGGCCGGCAAGCCCTCGTTGCGAGCGATGTGCATGAGGCCGTGCCAGAGACCCTTGTAACGCGGATGCTTGCGGAGGGACTCGCGGTCGCCTGCGGCCAGCTTGGCTCCCTGCATCTTTATCCGCGTATTGACGACCCATAGAGGCGTGGTCGTCAGGACGTTCACGACACCGGCGAGAGCGGCCAGCAGAAGGTCTGACATGGCTCCGTGCTGTCGCGGGTCGCCAGCAGAGACGACCGCCCGGAGACCGTGAAACGAGTAGAAGTAGACGAAGTTCGAGCACCAAAGCGACGTCAACACGGGTCCCAAGCCCCGGTACACACCGTTGGGTCCTTCGTCGCGCAGAATCTCGCGTAGGAGGGCCAGAGTGTTCTTCGATTCGCGGTGCTGCTCGACTTGCAGACGGGAGCGGACCGTGTCGAGAGGAAAGAACACGGTCATGGCAACCGCGCTGCCTGCGGCCCCTCCGACGGCGTGTACGAGGGTGTCGTACGTGAACAGGTTCTCCCATCGAATGTGCTTCGCCATGGTGAAGTCGAGTCCCGGGCAGTACGCCTGTCAGATCCGCACTCGGCTGCCTCCCGCTGTCTGAAAGCAGCGGCGGGCTCAGCTGATCGCGGCTGGCAGCCCTGCAGCTTCAACGTAGCTCGAAGCCTTGAATCTTGAACGGTAGCCAACTACTGCTGACGACACGCGACGAGCCCAACCCGACACCAAAGAACGACACACGATATTTTCCTGGTATGCGCTACCGTTGCCCGCTGCTAGAGACGCCACGGGCGTTAACGTCGCAGATAGATACATCGCTAGCACAGGCAGCGCCGCCGCAATTTTGCGGGACATTTGAAATCTTTAGATGCTTTTGCAGTGAATATATTTCTGCCAGACTAAATACAAGACACTCTTGTGAACTCGACGTTGCTTTGTTTCGGCGCAGCCTGTTGAAGAAATTATATTTAGCAGGCGCAGTTATGCAACTTAGATCTCGTTTTCTGTCCGACGGTCCGCCGCAGACACAAGACCGCAGCAGCAACCGTGCTCGGAAGCTCACCCGCAGGTCGCGGGTTCCATCCCGGCGGCGACGGCGGTCGTATTTCAATGGAGGCGAAATGGTTGAGGAGCCGTGTACGATGAGGTGTCAGTACACGTTGAAGAAGACAAGATGGTCGAAGTTTCCGGAGTTCTCAACTATGGTGTCTATCATAATAATATCGTGGTTTTGGGACGTATAACTCCACATATTATCGTGTCCGCCGAAATATAAAAGTAAAATATGCTCGGAAATCTGGAATGAAACCACCACCGTCGAGGCCATTGGTGTGTAATACGTATTGAGAGCACCAAATGAGGAATTATCAGGAGCGCGCGGACGAGTGCTGGCTCTTTAGGCGCGCCAGGTGTGGGTGATGTTGGCGACAAGCTATACGGGGCGCTGGTCACCTAATTTATTGATTTGTGGGGTTTAACGTTCCAAAACCACCATATGATTATGAGAGATGCCGTAGTGGAGGGCTCCAGAAATTTCGACCACCTGGGGTTCTTTAACGTGCACCGAAATATGAGCACACGGGCCTACAACATTTTCGCCTGCGCTGGTCACCTAGCCGAAATAATTACAGTGGTGTGACTTCATTACTGCGCTTAAAAAAGGGTGCCAAATGAAAGTAAGCCGAACAATGCAATCGATTCTTACCCACCGTTACACAACGTCTTGCGAATGGCAACGATGTCCCAAGAGAGATTCATTAACTTCATTACCACACTCTTAAGAAGGAGGGCGTATACAGGGCGTCCTTCTGTAATCACCGAGCTTGCCCGCATTCCCGTTATTGAGAACTCGCCACTCGACGCTTTCATATCAAGAATGCTATGTCACGCTCATAGCGCGAACGTTGTTTGTTGTCCGGAAGCACAGAGATAACGCATAGGCACGCAAGATAAGTGACTAGTTATGGAACAAAAAGATGCCGCGAGTGTGCATCTTTTGAGTTTAATGGTGCGGAGAGCGTGAAAGGATTTCTTATTCGAAGCGGTCAACAATGCGAGCAAAATGCGAAGGTTGTCAAACCATCTTTGCCACTGCGCCACTACCGTCGATGTCACGGTCGTCGCGCTGTTTTGTCAGCGTCACCATTGAACGTACGAGCTGGTGCATGCAACGTGAAATATAAGCTATAGACATTTCTGCCCTCTCATAGTAGAGTACTAAGTACTCTAAATTGTTAAACATTTTTTCTACACAAGCCATGTGCAAATTTTCCAGCACGTGATATTGGCGTTGTATCTGCTTGAACTGCACTATTCAGACCTGAGAAATGTATTATCATGGCGTGTCCTGCATGTATTCCGCACATTCGTATTCGCTTAACCGTGCGTTTCGGGAACCGAAGAACAAACGTGCGTTTCCTCCAGTCGCTTTAAGCTCAAGCACTGCGACTATAGTCTTGGCCTTCCGATAGGCGCTTCGACAGCAGCGACAGTTGTCGTTGCGCGTGATTATTTAATCAACACACACATCCGTGTTGACGCTTTGAGAATTCACTTAGAGCATTTCTTTCGGATTTCTAGGCTCCACTCAACGTTCAACGCAACTGTATATAGCTCAGCATTGCGCAGTGCTTCCATTGCACTTACGCCTGCAGCACGGCCGCCGTTACCATCGTGGTGTCTACACCCACTCAAAACTCTTCCTACCATTCCTGGCACCCAAAAAAAGAAACAGTCATCATATCCAGCCCTGAAATAGGCCACAATGTTCCTGCACGAGAAGGACAACGGACGCCTTCACATTTACATGTATGGTTCTGTTGGTTCGGTAAGCTCAGCAGTTGCGGTGGTCATTCCGATTTCCAGAGCTTTCCCCTACGGCGTGTCTCATAACCATATGCTGGTTTTGGGACGTTAAATTCCAACGATGATTAACTCTTTCGGCTCTGGCGTCATCAATTGACGACACCACACTATTTTTCTCCTCGCACCTCTAAAAGGAAACAGAACCTGCTGATTTTTCGATGCGTATTTCTTCATCGATCCCCGCTTCGATTAAGACCATTATTGTGGCATTTTGGTGGAGTTTCAAGCAGTAAAGAAGAAGAAGCTTGACCGAACTCACGGGTGATGCTGAAGCGGGCTGGCAGAGGCAGGAAGGTGGTGTTTTCGGGATGAAGACCTGGAGTTGTTTCAAGAGCTTCCTATTGCTAAATACTACATTTCTTCAAATTTTGGGTAATTTGAGGTACTATAATGTTTAGCAGGAATAAATTAACTTTTTTTGTCACTTCATGACCACATAGTCCTGATGACGCAATTTTATGTCATGTCTGTAAATCCATAAATGCGTACACTCATGGCTCATTTTTTTTTGTTTTTCGTCTTCTGAGAAGAAATACACACTAAAAATGTCTCCAACGAAAAATGGGCAGATCCCACGTGCAGTGGGAATCTATGATATGCGAAGCACGAATGAGAAAGGTTTATATGTCACTTTGAAGTCATACGAAATTTGGCATATGTGAAGCTAGCGAAACGGCCACGAGCGCATCATGAGCGTAGAATGTAGTCATGTTGTTACATTACACGCATCTCATGTTTATCATGTGTTCACCAGGATCATACCTTCGTCATCCATTAACGTCTCGTATTAGCAAATTTGGTATAAGTGAAGCTAGCGATATGGCCGCCAGCGCATGATGAGCTTGGCATGTAGTCATGCTGTTACATGACACGCATCTCATGATTATCATGTTTGCACCGGTCACATACCTTCGTCATTCATTCACGTACCGTAATACCAAATTTGGCATGTGAGACAAAGGCGAAACGGCCGCAAGCGCATCATGAGCGTGTCATGAAGTCATGTTGTTACATGACACGCATGTCTTGAATTTCATTTTAGGGTCTGTCGCTTGTGTCCGCCATGCAATCTTGCCGCACCATACCAGTTTTGCAACATGCCGTGTGAACGAAACCACCGCAAGAGCTGCAGGACCATGAAATGTAAATCACGACATCCGTGCCATACATGTCATGATTTTCATGTTGTGACTAGTCGAATATGTTCTTCGTATAGTCATGTTATTGCATACCAAGTTTAGTATCGATATCAGTATCGAAACAGCCTGGAGAGCCAAAAGTCGTAGGAAGCTAGATAGATAGATAGATAGATAGATAGATAGATAGATAGATAGATAGATAGATAGAAACGCTCAAAGTCGCCGAAGTTCGCTAAGAAATGCTTCATATTTAAAGTTAAATTTCCAGGGCTGAAAGGCCGAAGGAACCTATCGGCTAGATTTTCTTCTGAACCTTCCTTCCTTATCCAATCTGCGCACGCGCGCGTGACCACTAGAACAAACACTAAAATTCAGTGCAGTTTTATGCCCAAATGACGTGCAGTTTAACGCAGGCAAGTGGGTGAAGAGGGGCGTGCAATATTAAAAGCAGATACTGACATTTATCACTTCTAATAGAAGTGTATCCCGGAGTCAGCTTTGCAGACCATAGTGAACCAATGGTGAATCATGATAACAGCGCACTGTTATGCCAGCGAGTCCCCGTCAAACGTCCGTGCCTCTGAAAAGGCAATCTGGGTCAAGGCCAGCCCGCAGTCCGCCTGACGCGAACAACTCAACGGCGGGAACACGCGCGGCGCCTCTCTGACCCACGTGCATTGAGTCAGCAGCGCACGTGACAGCGAGCCGGCGCCCTCGTGTCTGGTGGTCTGACGCATGGCGCGGCGACCCCATTGGAGGAGTCTGCCCTGACGACCAGCGGCGCTTCTGATTGGACATTTTGGTTGGACCCGGTGCATATAAAAAAAGCCCTGCGGCGTGTCGCGATCGGCGGTCCTATGAGAGAGGAGTCCCCATGTCGGAGAGCCGACATGTGTGTGAGTCGGCGGTCTTAGGCGAAAAGTTGACCTATGTATGAGAGAGGAGAGCTCGGCTCTTCGAGTCTCTGTCGGCCCCAGTGCCGAAATTGTAACGCCTCTGTAAATATGCTGTACATAAACCTTGTTTAACTCACCGTCGTCTCGTCCGCTCATCTCATCAGCTCTGCGCAGAAGCAGTCGCGAGCTGAGAAACATACGCTACCAAACGGCTGGTGACCTTCCCGGCGGAGTTGAAAGCAGTGGCGCCTTCGGGACCGTGTTGGCGTCGCCGTCTTTCGCAACAGTGGTTGGCAGCGGTGGGATCGGTCCGTCTTTTGACAACAGTGGTGGCTTCGGCGGGATCGGGCCGTCGTTCGCAACAGTGGTGGCAGCTGCGGGATCGGCCAGCGTCAGCGACATCGATGCGGTGAGTGCCTGATGTTTTCCCCTCAGTTCACCAGACTACTCTAGCTCAGGTTGTAGTAGTTTAGAGAAGGGCTGTGTGAAGCATTAGAGTGAGCTTTGATCGTTTCAAGCAAAGTCGAAGTGCTTTGAAACCAGAGTTAATGCGGAGGGGGTAAACACGGGAGAGTGAAAAGTTGCTTGCGCGTCTTGCTAGTTGACTTATAGTGGGTACGGCAAGTAAATTGTTAACAGGGGCAAACAGCAAGAGGCTAGTGTGAACGATGGAGAACCTTAAAGTGAAGGAACTCATCGAAATTTGTGAGGAACTCGGCATTACTTTGGGCCGTGCGAAACGAAAGCAAGCGATCCTTGAGATCATGAAGGATGAGGGAGTGTCGGCTGAGGAAGTCGATGAGGCCTGGGTGGATATTAAAGCACGCCGTGAGGAGGCTGAAAGGCGAGAAGTAGAA